GGGGCGCGGGGCCCCGGAGGGTGGCGAGGAGCCCCCGCGCCGAACCCTCGCCCCTGGCGCTCCCGAAGGGTGCGCACACCCTCCCGACGCAGACCCACCCCCTTTGTCCTCGCCTTTTCCCTTGGAAACCCAAATCTAAACTCAGATAACAGTTGGGGGCGTTGGCCAATTTTCCCTTACCGGTCCATCGCCCTCCCCCCCGCCGTCCCTGTCCCTCCTCTTCTAGTCCACTACCCTTACCCCATCCCGGTCCCCAGACGGCGCGCGAGGACTTTCTCCCCTCCCCCCTCCGCGCATTTATTGTATTTTAATTTTAAAAGCGACACCTTCCAACCCCGCGCCCGAGGCGGCGGAGGCGCCCTCGCCCGCAGCTGGGAGAGCCAGGCCGAGGCGCCGGGGCGCCGGGCTCCCCGAACTCACGCCAGGGAAACGCAGCGCGTCTCTGGGAACTCGCAGCACCTTTGCAGCGGGGACTCGGCGGGGTTTGTATTTGCTGTTTTAATACAAACCCCGCCGCACTGCCTATTTCAAAGATGTGCTAATTACTACTTGGATAGCAGGGCGCAAAGTCCTTGTCCATTTCCCAGTACAAAGTAGGTTGCTAGAAAATTTGAAATTGCCTTTCAGCCTAAAGCTGCCTTACCTGAATGTCATAATTACAGTAATTATGTACATCCAAATTACATGCTAATTAAATTAGAATCAAATCGTTCTAAATCGAAATCAAATGAGGTAGTGAAGAATTAATCAATGACAACATAAATAGAGAGCTTCCTTCAGAGATATTTATTGTAACGATCCAAGGAGGAATTTGATCTGAAAAAGTCACCTGTTTATTTACTTTCAAATTAGTAATCAGTTATTATCCCTTCTCCATAATTTTAACCGTTCAGTGTTATTTACCCCCCACCCTTTCCAGACGCTGGAGTTTATAGAAATATGTATGAAGTAAATACATACAGACATGCCTCCCCCATATATTATTGATATAAATATATACGGTGTGTTTGCGACTCTAGTTAAGGAGAAGGTTTCAGCATGTCCGTGGGCACACATTCCTCCAGGGCCTGTTCTCAGGGTCCCGGAAAGCTTAGCAACCACGAGTTCTCAGGGTTTTCAAGGCCCTTGCTCTCTCTTTCTTTGGAAATTCATACTGAGAATTTTGCGGGCATCTATCTGACCATTTCGGGGTGATTCATTTAGAGAAGAAATGCAAAGCGCTAGGGGAGACGCCCCCGGTCCGTTTTCTGCTTGCAGTTTTCGGGCCAGTGTTGACATTTTCAATTTTGCCCAGGAACGAGCGATTCATAAAGCAGTGGCTTCGTAGAGCGCCCTTCACCTGTGGAGTCCGAGCGAGCAGAGACCCTCGCTGGCTTCCTAACCGCCGGCGGGTCCTCTCCGACCCACGGGGTAACGCGGCCGAGGTCCGGCGAGGGCCGGAGGGCCCCGGGGCGCAGCAAACCCGGGCCCGCCGAGTGGCCTGGGATCTTCTGGCTGGGTTTGGGTCACTGGGGGAGGTGGGGGCAGGACGAGGGGACCGATACAGAGAGCAAACCCAGACCCTTCCAGGTTACGGAGGCGCGTCTTCCGGGCGGGGTGTGCGCCCCCCTAATTCCCAGCCCTTCCTACTGAGTGTAGGGTGTGATCAAAAGGTTGCCAGCCGAGAGAACGCAGGATGGCGTCGTCTCTGGGACGGGAAAGGGGGCACCCCAGCCCGGGACCCACCCTATCACGCTACTCCAGCCCCCTTCGTGCTTTCTGTGGCCTTCGGGCGAAGTCTGGTCGGCACCGGAGGGTAAGGATCTCTAGGTCCGGGAGACGCCTCGCCTCAGGAGGTCCTTGGAACCAAGGGTCCGTAGGTTTTCCATGTCCCCGAGTGAGGGACAGGCCACTCCCCGGCCGTTCAGCAAGAAGTGTCTTTCCATTCCAGGTCTTTGCATTTCAATCCACACCTCGCTTCTACGTTTGGGGGTTCTAGGGTGCGAGGTGTGGCGGGAAGGAAGGAGGGGGCAAGTGTGGGGGGGAGTTGTCAGCTAGCTTTTCCGTCAGGAAGAACTGGGTAGGAGCTTCGGTCAGTGAGGGGGAGCTCTCAGCCCCTCAAACTTTTCCCAAACATCTCTCCCTTTTGATGTGAAAACGCTCCCAAGGCCCGCCGCTATTGCACGGCTGCATCTCTTGTCAAGAAGTGGTAACTCTAACACAGGTTTCTTTACAGAAAAGCAAAATAAGAGTTTTAAATACCCTTCGGCTACTGAAGCTAAACAGCTTTCTTCCTGGTCTTAAGCACAGGGTGGGCAGTGTGCGGCCTTGCTGAGGGGCCTCCACCAGCCGCTTGGCCCAATGGCCATCAGGCAAGAGGCGGAAAATGGCCCAGGTGGTTTTTGAACTCTGAGCTGCAAGTCTGCATGTCAAGCTTTCCGTGATTTAAACTGGGCAGCTCCTGCTCCCGGTAGTGGGGCCACATCTGGTGCACCATCAGCCAGCCGGCTCCCAGAAGGACAGAAAGAAAGGTCTCAGAGCCGTCCAGGTAAAAGCAGATGTACGATTCAAATCAAGATCCGTCCCATTGCAAGGTAAGCAGACCTGCCATCATGCTGCAGCAACCTCTGCCTATCTTGGCATTTATTAAAAGAAATTATGACTAACTTACTGTGGAGACATTCAGATAAACAATCCTAACCTAGCAACTTGATCTTTCCTGGACATTTGTAAGTCGACAGCACCTCCTACAGGAATTAATTTGCTAGTGTCATGTTAAATTTTGGGTTAGGGGAAAAGGGTATTGCCCCCTAAATGTGTCCTGTGCCTCTCAGTGCAATTCCAGACCTACCAGCAAATAAGAAACGTCTACATGTAGCCAGATTTAGAAGTTTCTCCATTAAGGGTAAGCAGAATGACAAATTTTACCAGACTTGTTTTCTAGAAAAAGTCAGTTAAGGACTTATTTGGAGTAGTTCTTAAATCAATGTTCATTAAACTTGGAGATTCTTTTTTGGTTTTCTATACTTAGAGGCATCTCCACACATAACAACTAGACTTCCTTTAATTACGACCTCCATCTCTCTTGGTATCTACATTTTAAATGTAAAAGTAGTTATTAGATGACTATTTTTATTTAAAATATTTTCAATTATTTCCTCTCCATATCATTACAAATATCATTAGGGTATGCAGACACATAAGGTAAGCCTCTTTAAAGCTGTTTATTATGTTACCATTGTGTGTGAAAAATACTTCCTTTGCATTTCTAACTTTCCAGTTAGAATGCTAACCTGTTGAGGTTGTCCAGCACCCTAGGGTGATCAAGGCTGAAAGCCAAACAGCAAACAGACATCTTTTTAACTACATGGGAGAATTTTCTCAAAATTAGGTGGGTAAGAATTTTAGAGCTTTTAAAAATAGCACTTTATGGTTTTTCAATCTTAATAAAGATAAAAAAAATATTATGGCAACTTTATAAAGTTGAAAGCAGACCATACTTTTGTGAAAGTCAAATTAGAGTATAAGAAATGGTAATATATTTCTTTAATTCATTCTTAATTACAGGATGCATTTCAACATTTTTCTTCATGAACACTATATTGGTTCAGAACCCTTTTTAAGGCAGTAAGTTTGCATAGGTTTTGACATTATAAAAATTACAAATTCTAAAAAGGCGTAAGGTAGAAAATAATCACGGCAACACTGATGAACTCAAAGTGTAAATTAGTCCTTATCAATTTCAAATGCATGCTTTTTTTTTTTAAGTGAGGAAGGAATGGGATCTTTGAGGTGCACGTAAGTTACTAAAGAACATGGTAGAAGGAATTCAGGTTCCTGTCTGCCTCCAATTCTCTTAATCTTAATAATCAAATGTTTGCTTACATCTTTAACTTAGCTTCTTCTAAATTAGAGGACATTTGTTTTATGTGTCTGCATAGACAAGACAAAGCCATAATCAGGCTACAAGGAGTGGTTTTATGTAACTCTTTCAAAGTTATTTCTTACAGAATTAAAAAAATTGTGACTGCCAACCATCAAACCACCTAATCAATGCTTTGAATTAAATAAAATGTTTTTAAAAAGTAGAACCCTAATAAAACTGTGTCTATGATGTCAAATGCTTTTGGAACTGCATGTTACTTGCAATTTGTACTAATTTTTTCCCATAGTTTTTCCTTACTATACCCGTTGGAACAGATGGGAAAACTTGCAGCTAAATTTATCTATGGTTCATTTATATTCATGAAATAGTTTATAGTTTTATTTGTATCATTAGATATTTAATCTTCTGAAGTAAAATCTTCTAATACTTGTATGCCAGTAGTACAGAGGCTATCTGTGGTAGCCTCAAAGATGTGTATGTTAACCCCTGGAACCTGTGAATGTTACATCCCATAGAAAAGGAGAATTAAGGTTGCAGATAGAATTAAGGTTGCTTATCAGTTGACTTACAACAGGGAGATTAGATTCTTCAGGTGGGCCCAATGTAATAATCACAAGGGTCTTCAATGAGTGGAAGAGAGATGTACAATATCAGTGTCAGAGTGACTAGATATGAGAATTGACTCTTTAACTTTCAATCAAGTGGAGGATGGGGGACTGGGTGGGGGTAAGCAGGAGTCAAGGAAATGTGGGCAACATCTAAAAGCTGGAATAGACAAGCAACAGATTTCCCCCTAGAGTCTCTAGAAGGAACATAGTCCTGCAATCACCTTGATTTTGGCATAGTGAGACCCATGTCAGAATTCTGATTTCCAGAACTGTTAAGATGATTGTGTTAAGTTTGAGGTAATTTGCATGGCAACATAGAAAACTAACATATCACTCAAATGAAAATAGAACAAAACACCTGAAGGTAGTTTAAAAGTCTTCAATATTGATCAATATCCATCATTTAATTCACACTGGTAAGTTTTAACAGTTACACTTTGCTTCAAGCAAATCCAAATCTTAAAAGTAATAACAAATTTGAATTGATTAAAAAGAAGAAAACTTATAAACAATTCAATCTACTGTCACTCTTTTAATGATGCTCCAGAACAAAGAAAATGTCACAGAGTTGTAAGGGTTTTTTAAAAATCTGGTACAGAGGACAAGAAACAGTTACCAACAGAAAATATTTCTAAAGCTCCAAAATAGCTTACAAATATTTGCAAAATTCATTCTTGTGGTACTCATGTAGTTTTGTATTTGAAATGACAGTTTACACAGATGGAAAATTAAAGTAGAGCTTTTTTAATACAAAGACAATAGTCTATAATTTAGCCCTTGCTAAAGATAGTCAACAAGAAAATGCAGATATTTTTATTCCCAGGTAATTGTCACATACTGTCTCTACTGCTAGGTCATTTTAGTGTGCTTATCTCCTGAGTGCTCTCTGTTCTCTCTTTCTCCTCTGCACACATCTGTGCCATGGCTTCTGGTGTCTTTTCTTCTATTCTTGTCTTCACTGGGCCTCCGCTGTGACAGGTTCCTCATTTCCCTTTGCTTGTAACTCCCAGGACTTCTGCTTTTGCTTCTCCTCCTCCTCCGCTCATCTCTGCTATGGCTTCTGGTCCCCTCATTTCTTTCAGAGCCTCTCTTCTCTGGGCTATGATGGTGGCTTCTGGACTTTTTGTCAGAATCAGAATGACTCCACTTACTATTCTCCCCCGAACTTTCTTGTTTTAAAAACTTAGGTTTTTCCTTGGCTTTTTCCTTGTTACTATAACTGCTAGGAAGTTCTTCATGAAGTTTTCTCTTCTTAGACTTGTCCTCTTCAGAGTCACTGGTGTTATTTCCTGAACACTTGTTTTTCTTTCTTTTCTTCTTTTCTGTTTTCTCTTCTTTGTTGTTACTCTCACTGCTACTTTCTGAGGTTTCAGTGGAGGAAGAAGATGAAGAAGAGGAGGAAGAAGAGGATTTTTTATGTTTTTTGTGTTTATTTTTGTTCTTCTGTAACTTTTTCTTTTTTCTATCCTTTTTCTTTTTCTTTTTTTTCTTTTCAAGTCTGTCCAATTTCCTGTAATTGGAAAAAATAGTAACAATCTGTGAAAACTAGTCCTTTCATCAACAACTATGAAACTGTCAATAGAAATACATTTTCTTAGAAGCCACTAAAAATAGTATCCATATATAAGCACATTATTTATTTTATTACAAGACATAATTTTTTCCTTTCAAATTATTTAAGGCATGTATACACTGAGTGAAAAATTAAATGCATTAAGCCAACTTTCTGATTATACTTCATTAACAATGATTATTTTTTAAGCATTCTTACTGCATCAGAATTTGAAATTATTTAGCACTCTAAGTAAATAGTCATCCCAATTTAAAGAAACCTTGTGAAAGATCTGAAACGTTATCTGGACTGTTGCAAAATCAAATATGTAGCTATAATCAGGTGAGAAACTAATTTTGTATATGTACTATTTTAATGTTGAGATATTAATATATTATCAAAATTCAAGATATTCTCCAGAATCTTTATATAAGATCACACTTTAAGAGGATCTGCACTGAGTTCCATCAAGCCACTGTCAAATTCCACATACTGAATACATCATGAGCTCCCTCTGTTGGACTCAGCAGACATTTCTTGGGTTCTTTAACCTAGAGGTAGTCTGTTTACCTTAAATTTAAACATTCTTTCAGAATTCCTTTAAGTTTATAAAATACAAAAAAAACACGACCAGAAATATTTTCTAAGAACTATGTGCAAAGATAGATGCAGATTTTTATGAAAAGTAAAACTTACAAATAAGTCTACTCTCAAATTACGTGTAATAGTTTTGTGGAAAAATGTGAGTATATAATTTTGTATTCATTTTCATATTACTGAAAAGAAAGAAAAATTGTATTACTATAGCTGAAAAATAAATCAGTAAGTGTGATAATGGTTTAAGCATCTTCATGAACTCTTAGGATAAAGGTTGGGTATGATACCAAGGTGAAACATAAAAAAAAAAAAAAAAAATCCAGGAAATATATATTTTTAAATTACCTGAGCAGTTTCTGTTTTTGCTTGGTTGTTAGTGACTTTAAGAATTCAACTTCAGGGTCTTCTTCACCCTCACTTGCAACATATTCCTGAGTCAACAAAGACATTATTCAATTGCTAGATCTTAAGTTAGTTATAAGACAGAAAAGAAAACACATTTATAAATAAGAAGTTTTGTAGATGAGGATAATACTGTAGATGAGTATACTTTGGATTGCAGAGTGGGAGAGAATTAAAAATAATTTTTGGTAGTCTATCTGCTGAGTCAGATTTAAGAGGTTAACACAAGTGCTCTGCCAATATTAGGAAACTATCAGGAAGAGAAGGATACAGAGACACAGATGAAAATTCTACAGCAAGCTTCCAACCTCTAGCTCTTGAATTAAAACAATTGCCTGCTTAAATATTTTTAATTGAATGCAATATAAAGACCAAGAAGATCATGGGGGAGTAGGTACAGCTCAGTATAGTCACAGTAGGGCACTGTGACTAGCACAGATTAAATACCCAGACCAAAAAAATAAAAGACAAACCTAAAAACCAACCCCTCCTTCCCAAAATCCCCACAAAACAAAAAACACCAAAAAAGAACAAAGAAGATTATGAGCTTACAAAGGTCAAACTTTCCATAATTTTAGCCTTTTTAATTTTAATAGTATATTATCAAATACATAATAACATAACCCTTCAAACTCAACAATTTGCTGACTCTATGAACAATTTGATAAATTAAAGAAGCTTTAAATACTTTTTATAATTTTCAGGGGTTTATTTTTAGGGAATTCTTTCTACTGTTTGATTTAATGTCACTCAGGTAAGTTAGCAGGAAGGAAAAAACAATCTTATCAGCAGTTTGGTTAGCTATTTTGTCTACATAAATCCAGAGAAACCGTTTCATTTATTAAAATATAGGTTTATAGACAATTTCTCATTTAGTTAAAATAATAAAGAGGCAAAATCAAAATACATTTTAGGCATTTTCTTTGCTTTATCTCACTTTCCTATGGATATATGCATATTGGAAAACATTAAGTAGCAATTCACAAGCAATCACATTTAGATTTACAGACATTTTCAGCTTACTGATAAAAAGATCATTACCTGTGATGGATCATTTGCGGTCAAGTTTCTCCCCAGCACATTTCGTTTCAGTGCAAACCCACTGTTTCTCATCTCCGCTATTAGCTCCGAGGGGTGCATCGATGGCCCTGTTCACAAAAATCACAGTTTGAATGTATCATTTATATCTCTCTACCTTTTTTGGACTCCACAGTAGGAACGTAGTTGAAGCTTTGTTAAGTAAAATCACAGCTAAATCAACTCAATAATCTTCTGCTGAGCAAATAATCAGATATGATTTTCTAAAACAGCAGTCTGGAGATTCAGAATAGAAAATAATTGCATTTTTCTTTACGTGCAAGGGGATTCTCTTCTTATGTAACTTTGTCATACTGAAAAAGATACATTTAGATGTCTGTCTGGAAGTTTTTAGTATAAAATCAAAGGAAGATGGTAAAAAACTTAATTAAAATTTTAATAGTTATTCTCTCAGTAAAGATTTACTTAAAAGATATTTTTTTCTCAGATGCCAATAACTGAAAATATCGCCACATGCTTCATACTATCACCACACCCACCCACCCACCTGTGCGAGCAGGCACGCACACACGTGCGCACACACGCACACGGTAACCATCGAGCACTTTAATCTCATTTATACACCCAGATTTTGAAATTTCTACTTATTAGTTAGGGGTTGGTGACAAGAAATTTGAGGTTGGCTATGGATATGTATGTTTTATGTTTTTTAAAAGCTGCTGCTTCCACATTTGCAATATTCCAAACTGAAAAGTGAGCTTCTTTTTTGGTCTCGTTATATGAATTAGCAAAAGGAAAAAATGTGAAAGTATGCCTTCTCCCCTCAAACACAGGCATATGTAAGGCAGGAGAAAGACTCTACTTCTTTCATACATTCCCATTTTACTGTGTTTTCCCTGCAGGGAGCAAATTCACTGACAACATTTCACAGTAGCTATTTAAAGTTCCCAGCTTAAATCACCTGCGCTAGTTTAAATGAAGTATTCTGGGCAACGTGTCTGTAATACAAGACAGAACAAGAATGAGTTACTGCTGACACAGACTTCACACAGAAGGGTGGGAGAAAAACATCCAGAAATGTATTTTCTAGTTTGTAAAAAGCAAAGAGCACTCAAGTCAATCTACTCATTTGTCATCAAGGGAGTTTTGGTAAAAATTTTGGTTGGAAAAATTTAGGGATAGGTTAATATCCTAGTGTACTGTCTAGGCTTTGTCATTCTATTAATATTACCAAAAACACCTGGACAACCTCTAGGTATGATAAGATGGGGGAAATTGCTCCTTATATTATTGGAGTATGGGGGAGTTATACTTAATTCCTATAGGTTAATTAATGATCCTTTAATTATTCAATTTTGTTGCTAATGTTGATAAAATCTTAAATAAATATTAATATTAGTTGCCTCTAAATGGCATAAAAGGGCTCATACAATTAATAGCTTTACATGAACAACAGAATTTGCTCTGGTGGCTTTTCAAATTTCACACGTAGGAGCATAATCTCTTTTTTTTTTTTTTTTAGATGGGACTGGGGTTTTTTGACCTCAGTGTTTGTGCTTGCAAAACAGGTTGTCTGTTTGAGCCATCCCTCCAGTCCATTTTTGCTCTGGTTATTTTGGAGATAGGATCTTGCAAACTATTTCCCCAGTCTGGACTCGAACCTCAATCCTCCTGATATCAGCCTCCCAAGTAGCTAAGATTACAGGTGTGAGCCAATGGTGCCCAGCAAGCATAATTTTACAAGGTAAAAAATGTCTTTGGAATTGTCATCACTACACTTCCTTGTCAACAACTGTTTTAGATGTCAAATGAATTCAGAAAGCAAATATGCTAAGAATTAGGATAAAAACCACTCTAGTAAAGGGCCAAAGAGCTTTGGTTATTAGGGAGGAGCTACTTTCATTAGTTTTCATCACAAGATGAGCAATTTTAATAAACTGTTTTGGAAAACATGCCTTTACAGTACTTTTCCAACTACTTCAGGAAAATGATCTCTTTCCACAGTGTGAGAGGTTATACAGATTGCAAAACAAACATGCTTTCCTAACATTTATATTTCTCTAAAGCCCCAACTGAAGTCTTTGTGTAGCACATAAACTTAGTGTACACTTCCATATTGTAAGCCTGTAAATACAGGCTGTGCATGGTAATGCATACCTATAACCCTAGCACTGGGGAGGTAGACACAGGAGGATCAAAATTCAAGGCCAACCTAGACTACACAGCAAGCCTCTATCCAAAAAATAAAAAAGACGACTACATACATTGCTTAGTGAAGTGTCTAACAACAGTACTCAATAAATAGCAAGAATCATCATTTTTACCCTAGGTATACAACTTCCATGACTACTGTATGGTAGTCTTCATAATTAAAAAAACATGCTCTCTGAAGTAACACTTTTCAAAATCTTGTTTTGGCCAGATGTCAGTAGCTCATGCCTATAATCCTAACTACTCAGGAGGCAGATATAAGGGGGATTGCGGTTTGAAGTCAGCTGGGGCGAATACTTCAAGAGACCCTATCTTAAAAAATATCCAACCGAAAAAGGGCTTGGTAGAGTGGCTCAAGTGGTAGAGCACTTGCTTAGTAAGTGTGAAGCCCTGAGTTCAAACCCCAGTACTATCAAAAAACCCCCCAGAACATAAATTCTCCAATTCTTTCAAAAGTATCATTTTACTGTTGGTTAGTTCAGGTTAGGATCCAAACGAAGTCCACACACTGCATTTGCTTTATAGATCTAAGTCTCTTCTAATCTAAAAATTGTCCACTTTTCCCTCAATTGCTATTCATTTGGTGAGCTGTGTAATTTGTTCTGTAAATTTCCCATATTCTGGAGAGTGATGCCATTTAATATATTCTAGCTCCCAAATTTTCTGTAAATCAGTAGTTAGATCTGTAGTACTTAAATTACTTTGGTATTTTATACCACATCTTTGGAGGGGTATATAGAAAAGTTTTTTAAAGTGTGGATCAGTTAAATGACAGTTCCAAGCAAAGTTTTCGTCAAAGAAAAAAGATACAACCTCTACACGGTTTTTTCTTATAAGTTCTTTCGTCATGTTTTTATTACAGTCATAGAACAGAAGCATAACCCTAAAAGTGTATATTTTAAAATAAACCCTCTGGGCTGGGAATGTAGCTCAGTGGTAGAGTGCTTGCCTAGCAGGTCTGAGGCCCTGAGTTCAATCCTCAGAACCATCAAACCAAAATCTCCCAGGGGCCAATGATTTAGCTTGGTGGTAGAGCATGCACAAAGTCCTGGGTTCAATCTTCAGTACCCTGACTATAAAACAAATCCCTTAGCATTATCACATATAAAGTATGATTATCATTTCCATGAAAGTATAACCTTCTGTTCTTTTTTTCTTTCCCAAGGTTAAACTGACTGTATCTAGTGAGTAAGCTATTCCTTGTCATTAAATAAAAAGGACAACTAGAAATTCTATGGTACATTTTCAAGAGGGAGATATATGTCTAGTGAGAATTAAGAATTATTACATTTGATTCCTAGTATTACCAATAGCATTTTGCTTTAAGAAAGCTTATAGAAAGTTGTCTTTAAAATGGGGAGGAGGGGCACAGTATGAACATGTAGCCTAAGTTCCAGGAAAAAAGTGAACAAAACTATTAATAATGTGTGTGGGCGATTTTTATTTATATAGACGAGAATGTTTTATGTATGATTTTCTGAGGGTTATGCAAGAACCAACTGTATTGAATTGTAATAAAACTGTTGGATATTGGGAATTTTCCTGACACACTGCCAGTTCATCCTTAGTGGAGGTGAGAAACAACAGGGTTTCTTACTGCCCTTACCCTAAGTTTCTGCTGAAGAAAGCTAACTGATCTCTATTAAAATACACAATTTTAAGGAAAATTAAACATTTCATTTTAATCTATGGTCTGACAAATACAAAGGAAAGGCAAAAAGAAACTATCCTTATTATATGCTAGTCAAAAATTACTGTTTATTTAAAACAACATTGCCTTACAGAATTAACATAAAGATCAAATGACTTATATTTGACTGTCTTTATTACTTGCATTTTTGACCTAACTTATATGTGAATATTTTAGTGGTGACACATCAGTAATACTAATTCATATGCCCAGGTACTAAGAAAAATCATTTATGTTGTAAAACATAAAATTAATACATGTTTTGGTAACTCATGTTTGAAATTCTAGCTACTTGGGAGGCAGAGATCAGGAGGATTGTGGTTTGAGGCCAACCCTGGGCATTAGTTCGAGAGACCCTATTTTGAAAATACTCAACACAAAACAAGGCTGGCTGAATGGCTCAAGTGGTAGAATACCTGCCTAGCAAGTGGGCCCTGAGTTCAAACTTTAGTACTGCCAAAAAAAAGAAAAAAAGAGAGAGAGAGAGAGAGGTTAGTATATGTTTTAAATAAGTTAAATATGAATGCTTCTGAAAAGTTATGCATACATGAACCTCAGAAATGCTTACAATGAGCCAAAGAAGTCAGACAACAAAAGATCACACTACATGATTTCATTTATATGAAATTCAAAAACAGATAAAACTAATGTGCTCTACATCTTATCAGGGATATTGGGTACCAGGTGTTGTTTTGTCAAACTCAAACCCTACACTTAAGAGAAGTGCATTTTACTTAAAAGAAAAAGTTACACTTATTTTCAGTCAAAAGTGAAATTCTAAGTGACTATGGCACTACAGACTTTCACAATACCTATATATTACATATCTAACTATAAGGAGTTTCCCTGCATAGGGAAAAAGCAAGCATTATAACAAATTCAGATATGACAAGAGGTTCTACAATTATCAGGATATTTTAAATAACTAAGATTAACATGTCAAGGGCTCTAAAAAGAGGTAACATATAAAAATAGATGGGTACTGTATGAAAAAATCAAAAGGAAATACTAGAAATAAAAAAATATTGACAGAAATGAAGAATGCCTTTGATAGGTTCATCAGTAGGAAAGAATCAGTTAGCTCTGATATGTCAATAGCAGGAGGTGGGGTGTATAACTTGATTGTGGAGTACACCTAGTTTATATGAAAAGTTCTGGGTTAAGCCCCAGCACCAAAATAAACAAGTAAACAAAATAAAAATTCCATCGAAACTTTCTAAACTGAAAGGGAGGAAAATACCCAGGAGTTGTATGAGAGAGCGAA